CCTCTTATGCTCCCTGGTCACCATCCTCTGCTCTAGCAAGTACTTCAAGCTCTGCTGGTCTAACCTGACGATGAAATGTCAGCCCAACAAGTAAGGCTGCCACTTCTGAATAGCCAATTCAATGGCCATCAATTCCTTCTCATAAATTGAATTCAGCCTAGCTTTGGTTGTTAATACCTGGTTGAAGTAGCTATGGATCTACGATTTTACATGAGCAATGCCCCTAATCCATATCCCGAGATATCAGTCTCTACCATGAACATTTGGTTGAAATTGGGTAGGGCTAGCACCGGGACCGTGGTCACGACTATCTTAAATCTCTCAAAGGTCTGAGTGGCTGCCTCTCCCCACAAAAAACTCTCCTTTAGCTGTTTTGTCAGAGGCCAAGCTATGTTGTTGTATCCCATCACAAATCTCCTCTACCCAGTCAATCCTAGGAAGCCCCTCAGCTCATTCAGGTTCCTAGGCAGAGCTCATTTCAACATTGTCTCAATCTTGGCCTGATCAACGACCACCTCTTCCTGGAATATCACGTGCCCCAAGTACTTCACACTATTATGTGCAAAACAATAATTCTTCATATTGGCTCTCAGCTGATGCTCCAATAACACCTTTAAGATCACCCTTAAATGCTTCAGATGCTCCTCACTGGAATTGTTGTACACCAGGATGTGATCAAAGAAAACTAGAATAAATTTCCTGAGGAAAGGTCGGAACTTCTTGTTTGTGAGGGATTATAAGGTAGCAGGGGCGTTGGTGAGATCAAACAGCATCACTAAGAACTCATAGTGTCCCCTGTGTGTCCCGAAAGCTGTCTTCAAAGCATCCTCCTCTCTCATCCGGATCTGATGGTACTCGAACTTCAAGTCCACCTCGTTAATATCGCCGCTCCATAATACTCATCTATCATTGGAATAGGAAACATGTCTGACACAGTCTCCTTATTCAGGGCCCGATAGTTCACACAAAATCTCCAACTTCCAGCATTCTTCTTGACTAGTAGAAAAAGAGCTCATGTTTGGCTTAATGATTCCTGCCTCCAACATCTTCCAGATTAGCTTTTCAATCTCATCTTTCTCAATATGGGGATAGTGGTAAGGCTTGACACTGACCAGTGATACCCCCTCCCTCGGCATGTTGGCGTGCTCCTGTACCCTAAGTGGTGGCAACCTCTAAGGTGGCTAAAAAATCTCATTGAGCTGCTGTATAACCGGCCGTACTGAAAGAGAAATGCTGCCCCCCACCTTCCTCTCCTTTGATCCCCCTCCAAACTTTGTAGCTCCCTCAGAAATCCTCCTCCCACCTCTTGTATGTCCCTTACCATAATTTTTAGAGACACTATGGCTTTGGAGAGCCATGCATCTCCTCTAATCATCATCCTCTCCCTTCCACCATCAGCTCCATTGTCAGCATCCCCCAAGGTATGCATCCATCTCATCCCTAGGGTGACATCAGTGTTCCTCAGTTCCAATGGGAGAAAATCCTCTCTCACCTGAATCCTCTGTATAGTCGGGACCACTCCCCTACACACTCCTTTATCTGTCTCCATCTTCTCAGCCCCCATCATCACCCTATAACACTCTGTGTCCACCAACTTCATCCCCAATTGGTCTACGTTCTGGTTGAAGATGAAATTATGGTAGCCCCACTGTCTATCGGCACCACTACCTTTTTGTCTGTTATTTCTCCTCTCATCGTCATAGTGTGATTCAAAGTGAATCTCACCAGTGAGTTTAAGGAGACCTCTATCATGTCTAAATGCAGCTTTTCCTTATCGGCCTATGCCTCACGCCCACCTCCCTCAGCTTTCTCATCATCATAGACAGTGAGAACATGAAGAGTTTTGTTTTTACACTTATGCCCATGCATGTACTTCTCATCACATCTAAAACATAACCCTTTTGCCTGTTTATCCTACACCTTGACTTCTGCGAGTCGCTTGAAGTTGCCTCCCAGGCAAATTCCATTGCTCTTCTCCCTAGGAGTTTATCTCTAAAAGGATATTATCTGGGTTCTAGTTGCTAAAGTTGTAGAGGTACTCCTGTAGGACCCTCTCATGATGGTTCTTCTGATGGCCTTCTCCCTCCTATATTTTTCTTCCACTCTCTCAGCAAAGCTCCATCATCTCTCTCAGCCCCCTAGGTCTTAGTATCCTAAGCTCTGCCCGTATACCCTCCCTAAGCACCTTCATCAAATTCCTCTCCAATCCTTCCTCAGATATTCCCCTCAGGCTCCCCGACAACAGCTTAAACTTCTCCCGGTACTCCATAATTGTACCTTCTGAGTTATAGCATAGAACTGTTTGTGGAGGTCTCCTTCCGGAATAGCTCGAAAACGTTCCAACAAGCACCCCTTAAATTCTCCCCATGAGTAGATCAGCTACCTAGCCTCCCTCCAGTGGAACCAGGCTAGGGCTTTCCATTCCAAACATAGACCCGCTGCCATGAGTTTTTCCCCTTCAGTCAGTCTAGTGATAGCAAAGTAACATTCCACCCGGTGCACCCAACCCTGAGCATCTTCCCCTTCAAAGACCGACATCTTCAGCTCCCTCGATCTCGCATCCATACCCCAATAGTTTCTTCTTCCGTTGGTTCCTTCCGTGTAGTAGTAGTGTGATTCCCTTCCTTCCTCCCTTAGTTGAATTGGACCCCATGGCTCCCCCAACCATGCCCTTCTCCATTCCACCTCTCACCATGCCTGGGTAGTCTCACAAAAGGTTCGACGTCCCTCCTCCTTGCTTTCCTCCCATTGGAATACCTTGATACACCCACCAACGGAGCCTCATGTGGGGGTCCTTGCTAGAAAACACGCTCCAATTCCGCCCGACTTCCAAGTGATGTCAGAATTATGCCCGACTTCCAAGTGACGCTGGAATTCTGCCCGACTTTCCAGTGACGTCGGAACTCTGCCCGATCTCCAAATGACTATGGAGTTTTGCCAGAATACCATCTAACGCCAGGGTTCTCCCCGGCCGCCAACTGAATTCAGACTTCTACCCAACGACAGACCTCCACTCGTTGCCAAATTTCTACCTGACACTGGATTTCTGCCAGTTGTCGGGTTTTCACCTGATTACTATCAAATGTGGGTTTTCTATACATATCTGAACTTCTACCTGACGCTGTCATTCTGATCTCCGCCATCAAATAACTGTCATTCTGACTTACGTCGTCCACCGACTACAGTCCTTCAGACCAAACAAACATATCAGAAATGATTCTTTGTATTATCATCATGTAATGTACTCTATAAGATGTACATTAAGTGGCATTCCCCCAAGGTAGGGCCTAATTTGTAATCACTTGCAATACTAGTGGATTCATTCAAACTGGGTTAGACCTCGTGATTTTTCCCCATTTTCAGGGGTTTTCCACGTAAAAATCTTGGTGTCTCATAAATGCTACACCCTCTCTCTCTCTTTATCTGCTTGTGTGCTGGATTTTGTACAACGCTAAGACGTTAAACTTTATTTTTCTCTACCATCTCGAATACTCCAGGACGCAACAAGAGTTATGGAGCATAGGTTGCGAATGACACTAATGGTTCTCAAAATCAATTTGGATTCATGTATGGTAGGTCTACTATGGAAGCTATACATTTATTGAGAGGTTTGATGGAGAAATATAGAGAGACTAAGGAGGATCTACATATCATTTTTATTGATTTAGGAAATCATATAATAAAGTTTCAAGAGAAGTGCTATGGAGAGTTTTACATAGGAAAGAGATTAATAATGTTTATATTCAAGTCATTAAGGATATGTATGCAAGAGATGTTACTTGTTTTCAAACACAAGGTCTTTTGAGCAAGTCTTTTTTTTTATTTTAGTTGGATTGCATCAAGGATTAGCCTTAAGCCCATATCTTTTTCCTTTAGTCATGGATGTTCTCACTAGGCATTTGTCAGAGGTTGTACCCTGGTGTATGCTTTTTGTTGATGATAGTCTTTTTGTAGATAAAACTAGATAGGGAGTTGAAGGTAAACTTGAATTATGGAAGTCAACCTTAGATTCTAAAAGCTTTCATTTGAGTAGATCTAAAATTGAATATATGGTGTAATTTTAGTAATAATAGATCTAGTGGGGGGATTGTGACTTTGAGCGATCAATTCATTAATAAGAGTACACATTTTAGATATCTTGGGTCTATTTTTCAAAGTAATAGTGAAATAGATGTGGATATTATTAGTAGAATTCAAGTTGGATGGTTGAAGTGGAGGAATGAATCGGGCTTGTTGTGTGATAGAAAAGTCCTTCTCAAACTCAAGGGAAATTCTATAAGATGGTAGTGAGACTTGCAATGTTTTATGATGTAGAATGTTGGCCATTAAAAAAGAATCATAATATTAAGTTAGGTATTGCAGAGCTGAGGATGCTCAGGTGGATGAGTGGCTTTACTCTTAGAGACAGGATACGAAATGAGTATATGCGTGAAAGGTTGGAGTAGCTCCAGTGGATGATAAGATTCGAGAGAGTCGCTTTAAATGGTTTGGTCACATAAAACGGCGGCCTTCTGATGACCTAGTTAGGAAAGTAGATGTATTACATTTGACTTATGTTAAGAAAGGTAGAGGTAGACCTAAAATGACTTGGTTAGAAAATATTAGAAATGACATTTCTTTATTAGATTTAGATGAAAATTTGGCTCTTAACGGGGCACAATGGAGAAAAAAGATTCATGTAGCCGAACCCACATAGTGGGATAAAGATTTGTTGTTGTTGTTGTTGTGGATAGTACTCCTTTTAGAATTTGTGGTATGAAGATGTATTATATACCTACATAATAACTTAGTGATAGCAAACCTTATATAAATTGGTAAAAAAATGTGATGCATGATGTGGGTTTCCTCATGCTGTTCTTATATATTATTGAGGCTGTGGTTTTCTGCTGAAATTTCATAGAGAAAAGACCAGCAATCTCATGGCAACCCAGAATAAGCTTCAGTCCTCTTTTTTTTCCCTTGTTTTTTCAACCTATCTTCTATTCCTTCCTCTTTAACAGGTACCTGGAAAACAAAGAGCCAGAAGCACAAAAGTAGCTGTGGCCTGTGGGCGATCTCCTTCTGTCACCGTTTGATGTAAGGAATAAATATAAATTTCTTCCTTTATTTGCTCCCTCCCATTCGATGCGTGTTCATGTGAATCTTTGCTTTCGAATTCATAATTTGATACCGTTACGTTTGAGTTCAAATGGTGGCTTTGAGCAAGCAATTTCTTAAACGCAGAACTTGAAATCACTTTTTATTAGGTAATTTATTGGAGAGATTATTATGTGCGGAGTTCGGGAATAGAGAACCGTTCGGTTTTGTGACTGTGAACTATAAAAGCACAGTTACTGTTCAACACTATCTTTTCTTGTTCACCCTTGAGCTTTTAATGTTCACAGTCACAAAACCGAACGGTTCTTTGTGACGGGACTCCGCACGCAATAATCTCTCAATTGATTGACATCTTTTGTATTCAAATTTACTTATCTTTATGCCTTTGGAGTACATGAAAGTGTGAAACTGTTTGACACAAGTGCACATAAACGTCTATATATAACGTGAAAAATACAATTATGGATCATGTGTAAGAGCTACAACAGTAACTGTACATTCGAAACATAGCTCCAAAAGAAAACAAAAGTTGTACTTGTTAAAAACACTGACAATTAAGAACTTCCCACCAAGGCTGACCGGGAGTAGGCTTAGAGAAAATCGCTGCACAAGCGCAGTTCGACAACAACTATAAATTAAAATAATCTGTTTTCAAATGACAGCACCAGGTAATAAGTTGCTTGGTCGCACAAGCACTATCAATACCATCATCAATATGGTGCAATCATCATTGCCCAGATCCCGGCAAAAATTCGTCCAAAGATAATAATAATCCCCAGCACCAGTCTCAAAGCCCAAACTATATTTTTGTTGGTCAGTTGTATCGTTAAGAACTTTGGGAGTTTGTGGGTTGGAGAAGAAAAAAGGAACCAAAAGGAGAAATGGTTTTAAGGCATCCCCAAAGAAAATGGGAATGCAAATAGAAGGTTCGTATGAATTTCCTCCAACTCATTAGAGACATGAAAATAAAATGCATAGTCATGCTCATTTCTATAGAGCCAATCATGTTATAGGTAATTATTATGTCATGGGCAGGGGCGGATCCAACCTTTTTTATTAGGTTGGGCAAACTCAATATATAAAGAATAAATATAAAAAATTATATATATAGCAAATATAATTTTTGACACGCTCTTTCTCTTCAAAAACATAGGTGTCAAGGACTGGAGTGAGAGTTGGGCAAATGCTTTTATTTTATCCAGTGAACGTACGCAGAGGAAGGTTCGGTTTTAGGCAAAAAAGTGCCTGTACCGAGTTTTTTCAAAAAACTCGGTACAGGCACACAGGCGCTTTTTTGCCTAAAACCGAACCTTCCTTTGCGTACGTTCACTGGATAGAATAAAAGTTCTAAGATTAGGAGGAAAACAAAAAATTTAGGAGGAGAGTGGGGGCAAAAGGTCGAAACTACCCATCTTATTCATTTCTACAGTTTGAGAGTGGGCAATTGCCCGCCCTAGGGGCAACGTGGATCCTTCCGTGGCCATGGGATACCAAGTTGTATTATGAGACTAACAAATTTATGAACAACATAACATTTACAAAATAGAAAAATGTATATCCTGATAGATGACTATACTTGAATGTGATACCTCAATGTAGATGATCACACATCGAAGATTATAGTGGATTCCAAAACCTTATCTTTTAGTTCTTCCATATAGGAGACTTGAAAATAAAATACATACATTTTAAAATGCTTATAGAATGAAAAGCAAAAAAACTAAAATAAGGGGAAGGTTGGGTGCCAACTTGCTTAGTTTGCAAATACCTTGAAAATTGTTGCCAAGCTAATGGGATTGAATCCCACATTCATAAAATTTCTACTTCAACACTCAAATTTTCTAAGAGAAAAAAAGGGAAGGAAAGGAAGGAGAAATATGAGATATACTAAAAAGATGCCATTTCTACAAGGCTTCACTTGGATGGGTTAGGGTCTTGGAATCTTTTAGAAATATATTTGCCTTTTTTATCTTTATAAAGGGAAAAATTAGGAAGGCCAGGAATATTTATCAAATGAACTCTACTTAACATATTTATTTTAATATTTATAAGAATGTTGCGTAAAAAATAAGTGTATCAAAATAGTGAGATAAAAAATTTTATTAACTCAAGAAAAAATTAAATATTTTGTTTTCAATTTCAGAGATTTTTCCTATTATATATACATTAATTTAATACATTAATGAAATCGGTCGGCTAAATTATTTAAAAGTTAGTTGAATAATAGAAAGTTAGTTAAATGTATACTTTAATAAAATCGACTAGATTTTCACCTATTATATATACATTTAGGCTTCGTTTGGGGCGGCTTTTTTCCTGCTTCTTAAAGCGTCTTTATAGTATAAAAATTAAAAAAAAAATTAACAAGAAAGCCGTTTTAGGAAGCAGTAAATAAGCCGTACTAAACGAAGCATTAATGTGTGTGTATGTGAATATTAAATGTATAGAAAAGCCAGATACAACTAAGTTCTATAATAAATCCCATAAAGAAAAATATAGCAAGACATCTGGACTCTATTATAATACATCCTAGTTTGGCTTTATACAAATAGTGTTCTTTAAGCTCTTCTCTTGAATGTTTGGAGCTCCATCATATGGTTCATTATTATGTTTCATGAAATTGTTATGCCAAGGCCATGTATAATTTTCCTTTATAATAATAGAGATTGAAGGAAAAAAAAATACATATTTGCCTAAAAATAAATGTTAGCACAAAAAACAATATGTTTTTTTATAGTTCAACAAAACTATATTAAGAAATGAGTTGATAATATCTATATGCAACAAAATTATATGATGGCTAAATTTGGGTTTCATTTGAGACAGTCTCTTAATGATTTCTAAAGCAGTTTTTTAGTATGCAATTTTCAAGTTCAAGAATTTTTGTATTAAAAAATTGCTTTAGAAAGCAATAAGAAAGTTGTCTCAAAGGAAGCCTTAGAGAATAAGATGATTTTTGTTGTTATTATTTTCATGTTCTTTGTTATAGGACTTCAAATGAGGATAAATTATTCGATGCGGAGACCGGATAGCGAGAACCGTCCGAATTTGTTGTGCTTTTATTGAGTATTTGCTGCGATTTTGCAAATATTCAGTAAAAGTGCAACAAATATTTAATTAATAATATTTGTTGAGTATTTGATACGCTTTTATTGAGTATTTGTTGCACTGAATATTTATTAAATAATTGAATATTTGCTGCGCTTTTAACTAGTATTTGCAAAAGCACATCAAATACTCAATAAAAATGCATTCATAATTGGATATGCTGCACTTTTATTGAGTATTTATAAAAGTGCAGCAAATACTCATTAAAAGCGCAGCAAATCCGAACAGTTCTTGCCCCCCTCCCCCAAATTGCTGAACTTTTATTTTGTCCGGTGAACGTACGCAACTCTACGTTCAGCCGCCAGTAGAATCGCTCCACGCGTTTTCATTATTTATCGCACGCCCTGACAACTCGACCCGGAACGGACCCAAGATTGCTCGTTATTGGTCGATTTTGCTCGGCAATAACCAATACCGAGCAAATATCTAGCAATACCGAGCAAATACCGAGTTGTACCGAGTTTTTTCTAGCAATGCCGAGCAAATCCCTAGCAATACCGAGCAAATCCCAATCAAATACCGAGTTGTACCGAGTTGTAAAAAAACTCGGTACAACTCGGTATTTGCTTTGTATTGGTCTTCACAGAGCGGTATATCTCTTTTTTGCAAAGCAATACCGAGAAAATTGCGAACATAGTATTACCGGGTTCCGATCCGGGTCAAGTCGTCGGGCCGCGTGGTAAAGAGTAAGAGCACGTGGCGACATGTTATTGGCGGCTGAACGTAGCTCTACGTCCGGTAAGAGGACGTAATAATTGTTCCTAATTGCTTTTGCTTATGAGATATATAACTATTCCTTCCAATGCTCCATATACTGATAACAAGAAATGAGTTTAGAGACGCAATTTATTCCAAAATCCCACAAGATGTTATAAAGTATCTTAAAAGTATATAAAAGATATCTCTCAATAATCAATCTCTTCAAGATCCCAAAAATAATCTCAAATCCAAAATAAAAGAATTTGTCAAAGACAAGCACTTTAAGAGGAGATTCTACCATCTCTTATAAAAGTAAAAAAAAAAAAAATTAGGACCTTAACTGCAATAACTGAGTCTCTTATTCATTTATTCTCAGCCCCTCAAAAAAGAAAAAAATTGTTGTGTCCAGATAGCGTACCGAGCGGTACTGTCGTCGGCATTGGGTGATACCGCCGTCAGTACCGAGCTCGGTACTGAGCGCCTAGTGATGTGACGCATTTTTATTGGTCTCTGAACACATTCGGTGTCCGAACACAATAATTACTCCAAAAAAAGTCCAAAAATATTTTATATTCTGTAATACAAAATCTTTCCTCATAGTAATATCTCATCGCTGCAAGCAGATTGGGCTTGCTCATCCTAACTCAACCTTCGAAGGAAAAATTGTCCTCTCTTCTCTATAGGCCTCATCTGTTTAACAAAAATCACAAGTAAAATCACAGCAACAGTTATCAAATATTGTCAGGAGGAATAACTGAAAGTTCTCGTCCGGATTGTGAGTGTGTACACATTATGTATAAACAGTGTTTACATAGTCTGAACCAAATTATGTATACAAATTATATACAACGTGTACACTCACAGTCCGAACGAGAAGTTCCCATTCTGACTCCGCATTCCGCACGGAATAATTTCTCCATGAATTGAGAACATAATTCTGAGTACTAACAACTAGGCTTTGTCATGGATCTCTCAGACTTTAGAGTACTATCAATATCATTTGATATAAGCCGAGCATCACTAGCTATTCCTTCTAGTCCTCGGCGAGACAATCCTGCACTGTAAATTCCATTCTCTCCTTTCCAGTGATCAGGAAATTTTCGAGCAGGAAGTCCTTTTTCATTCAGGAAGTTCTTCTCGTCCTGCAACAGAAAATTCATAGTATTCTATATCACATTGAGATAGAAATAATTAAACCAAAAAAGTTTCGAAATGATCGCCATATTGTTCTTTTGTGATTAATTTAATAATCACGTAATCTCAGAATATCATGTTGCTCTAATTTAGTGCATCAATCATACGAAGTCTATCCAAAATGTTCTTTATGTTGTATTTGTGATATAAAATTGATCCAAATTTAATCCCTCGATTATAAAAATGATCTTAATTTAATTATAAAGGGATCATTTTAGATTAATTTTATATAGTAGATGGGCTAAATTGGAGCAGTGTGATATTCTGAGATTAAGGTTTTGTTTGAGATGGTTTTCTTATTATTTTTTAAAACAACTTTTTGCTACGAATATTTTTAGTTTGAGAAATTTGTACTGAAAAAATGTTTTAGAAAGCATTAAGGAAGTTGTTCCAAACGAAGCATAGGAACAACTTTCTTACTAATTTTTAAAACTTTTTTTTAGTATAAAATTTTTTTGAACTAAAAAACAATAAGAAAATTATATCAAATGAAGCCTAAGATTTTGTTTGGCACATCTTTCTTATTGCTTTGCTTTTCATATCACAACTATAATTTATGTTTGGTCATTACTTTTTAGTTGTTTTTTGAAGAAAAAAAAATTGTACTAAAAATTATCTTCTATAATAATTTTAAAAATTATTTTTCTTATAGTAATTTTATAAAATAGTAAAAAACCTTTCTCAAACTAAGTCTAAGTTGGCTATATGTGAATAATCTGAAAACTATTTTGAAGTTTAAGACTCAATTAATTGATATTTTCGATAAGGGTGTCAAAATCAAGTTTCGGGTCGAGTTCTGGACGAACTCAAAACTGATACGAGTTCAAAGAAGTTGACCCTAACCCGACCCGGTTATGTAAATGGGTCGGATACTCAGACTCGAACCCGACCCGTCGTGTTACCAGGTTGACTTGACTTGACATGGCTGATGGTTGGATGGTGACGGTGTAACAGCAGATGGAGGGGCTCGCGACGTGGCGGGCACGGGCAACGCGTACATCCTCAGGCATGGGCGGGCAACTCAGACGCGACTCGGGAAGCCTCAGGTGAGTGCGAGCATGAGCGCGGGTGGGTAGCTCGGACGTGACGAGCGAGCATGCTTGGGCAGCGTGGTCAGCTCGTTTTAAAAGGGTTTTCGGGTCAACTCCAATCCGACCCGTTTTTCAAGCAGGTCAAATCTGAGAATCCAAATATGACCCGTTTTAAAATTGGGTTGGGTCTAACCCGAAATTTTCGGACCGGATTCAAATCGAATTTTCGTATTGTGTCAAATGTTGACACTCCTAATTTTCAACCACATATAGTGTGTAGATATATAAACAAAATATCACCTTAAGCCATTTGTTTGCTAAGCTTTTATATCCGGTGGCAAACAATATTGTATCAAAGTAGTGCGATTCTCCGTTGGTGAATTTCACCCAATCGCCTTCTATAAATGAAAGTGCTGGTAAAACCTATTAAAACAAATAAACAAATAGATATTAGAAAAAAAAATACTTTATATAAAAGTAAAAAAATAAATATTTTTATGGAGCATTTTGCAAAGCATTTATTTCTATTGTGGCCATTTATATTTTGCAAAGGTAAAAATTATTATCTGCTATTAATTTAGGGTCTTATAAAGTCCTAATTATAGAAAATTAGAAATATATGGTATGAAGTTGTGCATTGAGATACGTTTGGGTCCACTACAATTTTTTATAAATATATTTATAAAATTATTATAAAGAAAATAACTTATTTAAAAATTATTAAGAAAATAGCTTTCTGACATAAAAAAATTTATGTGATATTTAATCACATAATCTTAGTAAAAAATTTCAATGTTTTAATTAATTAAATTAGCTAAACATATCTGACATTTTAAATCATTTTCTTAAAACATACTAATTCAAAGGGGAGATGTATGCTTCTTTTGGGACGGTTTCTTACTGTTTCTTAAAATAGTTTTTTAGTACCAAAATTTTAAAGCCATCCCAAGGAAAGTCATAAGCTTCGTTTGGGACAGCTTTCTTACTGCTTTCTAACCTAACTTTTTAGTACAATTTTTTTTTTCAAGATTTTGTGTGCGCTAAAACACCGTTTTAATTCCAAACAAAAAAATAGTTACAAATGAAGAAAACTTTTGTGTTAATAAGTAAAGTAGCAAATTTTAAGCTTATATTAAATCCTTGGGTCAAAGTATTCTTACTAAAATTATATGATCATAAGTTTTAAAGTAGTTGGTTTTTTTTTTAAATGAATATTGTTGGGTGCCATAAAATTTTGGTAATAGAGAGATAAAGCTTAACGTCTTAGTTTTATACAAAAGTTTAGTACATATAATTAAGAGAGAAGTTATAAGAGTCCTGCTTTTTTTTTTGTCGAAAACCTAGAAAGAAAAAAAAAATCTCAAAGCCTAGTACAGTTTAAATGATTCTACTAGATTTTGTCATTGATTATAAATAATATTCTTTTCTATGACCGAGAAAGATGTTGTTGTAATATAATAGGCATAAGTTGAATATAACAAATTTCATGGTGAGAGTTGGATTAGTCATGAGACATAGGAGTTGTATGTAAGAGATTTTTTAATGCTTGTTTGGTTGTTCTCTTTTGAGAAGAGGAGGCTAGAGAACAGTAAACTCAATATAAATCTTGGTGATGGCATTTGAAGTTAGTGTTCACATGGACTATGTGCATTGACCTTTCAAGGTAGGTAATGGCATGAGACAAAGTTAGCGCATTAGCGGGTATTAGGCTACTCGAAAGATTGAAGTCGAGTGATAGTAATGGAGAACCATAATTGAACAATAGTGACGAGAATCTTGACTGAATTACAATATTTGGATGACCGTAATACGGTGACATCAGTCAGGTGGAAATAGTGGACATAAGGTCATAATTGGGGAAAGGGAGGCGAAAGAGTCATAGTCAAGCAATGGTGGTCAAAGGGCTCAGTCGGGCAATAGAGATTGGAAGACCATAGTTTGGCGACAACTGTCACAAAATTGTAGTTAGGCGACGTGGGTAGGAGGATTGAGTTAAATGATAGTTGTTTGTTGATTATAGTTAGGTGAAAATGGTGGTAAAAAGATAGTCGTCGGCAGGTGAGGTCAGAAGAATCATAGTTGGGTGATGGTTGTTGGATGACAATAGTCAAGCAATGGTGGTCAGAGGACCATTGTTAGGAGACTGAGGTTGGATGATCATAATTAGGTGACGTTGGTCAATGGACCATAAACGAGTGACAATTATGGGAGGACTGTTGATGGGAATCCAATGTCGGAGGACCGTAGATGGGAAACTTAGTGGTTGAAGGACAAGAACCAAGTGATGATGGTTGAAAGACCAAAATAAATTAGCAATGGTAATAAGGACAACATTCAGGCAATGGGAGTCAGCAGTTCGTAGTCAGGCGACAATGATCGAAAGACTGTAGTCGAGTGATCGATTGATTGTGGTCAGAAGATTGTAGTTAGGTGATGTTGGTCAAAAGACAATAATTGAGCAAAGATAGTTGGAGGAATGTAATTAGACAACTGTTGTCAGAGGACTATAGTTCAACTGTGGTTGAGGACCATAGTTATGCGGCAATTGTTGGAGGATCATAGTTGTGTGATGGTAGTCCAATGATGTTGGTTGGGGAGTGGTGCAATGATATTTGCCTGATGATGTTCTGACGAAGGTGGTTAGGTGATGTGTTCCAATAGTAGCAATCAAGCCATAGTTCGACGACGTTGGTCAAGTGGTGGTCTAAATTTATTCTGATGGTGGCGATTGGGCGATGGTCCTATGGTGGTAGTTGGACAATGTTTCAACAAAGACAATAATAATTGGGTGAAATTCGATGGCGATTGTTATGTGGTAGCCAGACAACAACAAAATATTGGTGCTTATGCGGAGCTTTGAGATTCTTAGAGCCTCTAAGCTCTTTTGAATCTCAAGCCAAGGTCTTAACTCTGACTCCTCCCTTCACTTAAAAAGTGAGGGATATGCCTCATAAATATAAAGAAAATAGAAACCACTATATTGAACGGTTTGTATTGATTATGTCAACTATATGCTATATTTTTAACATTTAAACATCTTAATGATGTCAAAATTAAATGAACTTTAGCATATTGGATTCATCTCATCAAGTGGCTTGATTCAACTATAAACACACGAGCTATAGATCTGGAGATTATTTGATCATCTAATTAGTGTCCATAAGTCTCCAACTATGCTTAAGGTGGTTGATATGGGCTCATTGGACCACTTTTAATATCATTGGATTTGCCTCATCATGATGCTTTCTTTGATAAGTTTTCTAAATCAATATTCAGATGACCTTGAATTTATGTTTGGATGTTTCCAATTCAAATTTGCATCGAAATTCAAACCTAATCTGGACAATTTTCTTAAGATGTGTCAAATATAATACATGCTTAATCAAAAGCAAATTCAATAATTCTAATTGTTTATCCTAACCCAACATTTTTCATAAACCCTAATAGCAATAAAGAGAAATATTTCAAGAGAAATAGAGCTAGATTTCCCAAAAAAAAAAATCACCTGAATTTCACCTTTCTTGATTTTGTGAATGGTCCCGACATCTATAACAGGAGATCTTCCCACAGTGGCCTTGAGGAAAAATGGCCCATCCTTTGGTTTTTTAATCCCAAACTTGGATAAATCTCCATACTTGATGTTGCTAAGCAAAATTAAAAACGAATCAACAATAGTCAGTGGCATATTGTACTTCAAAAGATGCATTCCAAAATTAATCATCTCTTTGCTCATCACCTGAACCTGCAAAATTTTCTCATGTTATATATATTTTCGACATAATGTAATTATAAAATAATATATACGGCATAAATGAAATATAGCACGTATAAAAGAGAAGGAAAAAACGAAAATGAAAGAATTAAGGGTCTATTTGGTACATCTTTCTTGCTGCTTTATTTTTCATACATCAATCACAATTTCGCTTGGCTACTAGTTTCATTCTGCTTTTCATTGTTCTTCAAAAGTTTCTATAGCGGCAACATATTTTTGCAAGCATAGTAGTTATGTTATTTTTCTCGCAACAACTTCACAATCAACTTTATAAAAAGATTGCAGCCATCTCAAACTTATCTTAATAAATGTGCATGAAGAAATTAATTGAGCGCACACTTTATTTGATAAGTCTGATAATATTTTATGATATATTTCTTCCTGTTTGAACAAATTTAATCTTAATTAAATTTATACACACATCATTACATATGATATCTCGAACTTGCGACCCTATGTTGGGAACTAAAGCTCCTAACAATCAAGCTAATATAGTATGCATGCATTCAATTGCCAAACTTTGATGATATATACTCATAGGTTTTTTGAGTTGGACCTATTGAGTATGTTAGCCTACCTACTAATTAGCATAAACAATTATAAATGGAAGTGATTGTAGTTTATTAATGAGGGAAATTTATGTATATAGATAGCAACCTTGCATTGTATTCCTATCATATAAACCTTATATTTGATAATTTTAGTTATTTTTTGAAAGTTTATCAATACATAATTAAATACCTTCTTATTAAATCCCATTTAGTTTTCTTCCATAAATTTTTAAGTTTAGACTGTTTTAAGATATGATTAGCATGAAAAAAAAAAATATGATATAATTTTCATCAACTCAAAACTACTACTAGTACAACAACATTGAGCCTTTATACTACTACTTGGGGTCGGCTATATGAATCATTTTTCTTTATTGTGTCTTGTTTTAAAGTCGAATTCTCATTTTAATCTAATAAATAAAAGCTATTTCTAAAATTTTCTAACCAAGTCATTTTAGGTCTACGACCTCTACCTTTCTTAACATAAGTCAAATGTAATACATCTACTGTTCTAACTGGGTCATTTAAAGGTCGACATTTTATGTGACCAAATTATCTAAAGCGACTCTCTCTAGATCTATTCTTATCTTCCACTCGAGTTACTCTAACCTTTTCACATATATGCTTGTTTTGCATTCTGTCTCTAAGAGTAAAGTCACTCGTCTACATGAGCATCATTATCTTTGCAATAATTAAACTTAATCTTATGTTTCTCTTTTAATGGCCAACATTCTGCGCCATAAGCATTGTGGGTCTCACCACCATCTTATAGAGTTTTCCCATAAGTTTGAGGGATACTTTCTATCACACAACAATCACAATCCCCCACTAAATCTATTACTACTAAAATTACACTCCATGTATTCAGTCTTGGGTCTACTCAAACTAAAATCTTTAGACTCAAGATTGACCTCTATAATTCAAGTTAGTCTAATAATCAACACACTCATTCTCTACTCAGCTGACATCTTTTTAATCTTTAAAATAACATTAAAAAGATTCATAACCTAAGATATTTCAAAAAGCTACCTACGGATTCTGCAAAGAATAATTTTTCTAGTTATAATTTTATACCTCGCCTCTCACACAAATGGAGGTGACGGCGCCGTGGCTGGAAAGATCGTAAGCTATCTCCATGCCCGAATTCCCGCTACCAACAACCAGAACTCTCTTACCTTCGTACTTAGTCCCGTTCTTATAATCCGCCGAATGAATCAACTCTCCAGTAAAACCTTCAATCCCTTCAATCTTCGGCACGTTTGGCTCCGCGTTCTCCCCCGTGGCAGCCACCAAATATCTTCCCACGTACTCTCTCTCCTCTCCATTCTCCACCCTCCTCACCTTCACCACCCACTTCCCATCCCCTTCCCTGAAAACCGCCGACTCCACGTCCGACCCGAACTCCGGCACGACGTCGAACTTAGCCGCGTAGTCGTCCAGGTACCTAATGAACCTGTCCCTGGGCATGTACGTCGGTGAGTCGGCGGGGGGAGGCATGTGAGGGAGTTGGCAGAAGCGTTTGTCGAGGTGGAGTTTCAGGCGGCTGTACGTGCGGTGGCGCCATAAGGAAGCGATGCAGTCCTCCCGTTCGAGGATGAGGTAGGGGATGGATCGGACGGAGAGGCAGGCGGCGGTGGCGAGGCCGGCCGGCCCAGCGCCGATTATTATGACGGGGTGAGCACCATCCATTGCCGGTTGATTGATTGGGATAATTGTATAGGGTAATTGGATTGAGCATTTATTAATGGAGGGAGGAAGGGAGGAAGGGAGGAAGGAGACGATTTGTTAATAATAGCGAGAACGGATTAACCCTTTCGTTGTGAGAACTGAGAATGGACGATTTGGATTGGTTAGCGGGATAAAGGAGAAGAATTGGGTCTGAATGTGTTAACTCAGCTTTATTTAGGAAGAATTTATGAATTTTTTTAATATGTTATTTAAATTTGTCATATATTGTACTTTTTTAGGGAGAATTATATGTATGATATTTATTTTTTATTTATTTATAATGTTAGTCTATGTGTCAACTGCCATTTTTGAAAAATATAAATTAATTTATGAGTGTTTTCGTATTCACGATCAGATCATTGAGAATATGATAAATATAAGAGATTTTATTGTGAATTTTAATATTTGAGTCAGGGGTTATTTGATTTGCTGAAAAAAAAAAAAACTTAATATAATAGAAGATAGTGTAAACTGAATGTATTTGTATTTGATATGTTTTGAGTTATCTTGATAAGTGTAAAGTAAATATAGATAATTACTTTTTTTATTGTTTGGCTTTAAAATGAATGGACTATGAAGTGATTAGGTAATGACGCCATTGTTAATTATAGAGAATTTGTAACGTGTTTAAAAATTTATTAAATTTAAATATTTCAAAATGTATAATTTCTAAATATATTAAGATTTAAAATTTAAAATACTTCAAAATTTTATTCTTTTTTTTTACTTTAAATAAAAAAATTAATAATTTTTAAGAAATTGTATTTGCCCATATAAAAATGATGCTTTTGTTATCTAGTAACACTACTTGATGAATATAAATGTAGTAAGTTTGAACAATAAATAGAGAAAATAAGATACGGAAGAAAGATGTGAATTTTTTAAAACTTTTTAATAGATGAATAATTTGAAAACTTTATTTTTAAACCTTTCAAGAGAATATGAAAAAGGGGAGTTTTAATATTATATTATCTTATTATTAAAAAAATATGAAAGAACTTTTTAGTAATTGATTAAAGGGGAAGATTTTATTTCTTTAATATTATTGATTCAAATGACATTATAATTTATAATTTATTGTTCATTATTTAATAAAAATAAAATTATTTATACAAGACTAATATAATACCTGCCCCATTTTATTTACTAAGTTTAATTTAAAGTCATAAAAATATCTAAATTTGAGAACTTATATTTAAAAAAATTTAAGATTTTTTATTTAACAAATCATTTAATTTCTAATTATTTAAATATATCACAAACAAAAATATCAAATTGATAGTTTATTTTTTGTTAATTTCATAAATAAAAAATATAGGTAAACTCACACACTTCAATTTTCGGATTTTCCTTTAGAATTTTTTTTAATTAATTATGTATATAGTTTTAAGTAAAATATTTTGATTCATCTGTATCTTAAAATTATTAAATTTATTTTTAAATGAATCTAAATAGGAGTTCCTCAAAATTTATAATCTCTCTATTATTTAAGAAAATTAAATAAATTTAAAATTCACCCAAATTAAAATGCTCTAATCCAAAAATTCCTAATCAATAGGGAAACTTACATACATAGCATATAAAAATTACGAAATTTTTATATTTAATATTTAAATTTAATCATTAATATGAGCTAAAACTTGATTAATTAATTAAGTTGACTTGAGCTCAACTCAATTATACATCTACTAGATCGCGACGCATGAAGGAGGAGAAGGGCGTGTTTGGAAGCATGTAGGATTTATTTAAGTAGAATTTCATAAAATTTTTAAATCCGGATTTACTAAATCTTGAGACCATTAAATCCTAAAAACTATTTGGTAAGAAACATTTGAGTCTTAATAAATCTGCTGAAAATGTTTGACAATACCATTCAAGATTTTAAGCAATTAACTCATTAAAAATTTGTGTTTTATATAAGTTACTTATTAATTATAATTTTAATTAACACCAATAAATTATAATTATGAAGGCTATAATTATTAATTAGTGTATTATTTTAATAAAGTATTTTATTAGTAAATTAGTTGGTGTTATTTTAATAAGTAAATCAATGTTAATTGTAATGATAATAATCTAATGAATTGTTTAATTATAATTTAAAATAAATAATTATTTAATTACTATTTGTGCTTATTATTTCATTAATTTTTATAATTTATTTTAATAAAATTTAATTACAAAGTATACACATAATTATAAAATTAATCAATTAAATATTGTATTAATTACTAATGATTTAATTAATATTTATACTATTTAATATTTATCATCTAATTAAATTATTATATTTTAAATTATATTAATTAAATTAATGAGTAATTAAAAATTAAGAATTAATATACTCATAGGCGGGACGGGAAGGCGGGAAATGCTTTCCTTCTTCGTTGCTGTTCGCGCGTCGGAGCTTCGCGCGTGGAGTCGCTGGCCATTCCCTGTCTAGGGTTTGGTTTTCCTCTTCTGCACTTATTCGTTGCTGTTCTTCTTCGCGTGAAGTAGAGTTCTGCCTCCTCGTCCGACGTTTTTCGTGTCGGATCGGAAGTCGCGCCGGGAGTTCGCCGCGAAGGTAACGATATTTCTGCCCTTTCGCGCGCTTCTTCGGTCGGATTTTCGAAATCCGCAAAAAAGTTGGATTTACGAAATCCGGGCTTTAGGGCACAAATGGCGAAAATGCCATGCTGTAGAGTTTACTTACCGTGAGATTTAGCTCAAATTCTGCCTAAAATTGGCCTAAATCCTGCATCCTAACAGGGCCGAAGACTTCTTGAGACACGCGCATCTTGTGGCGAGTTCTTGTGGGGAAGGAGCAGCGGCTTGTGAGGGAGACCGGTTCTCGCCGGTGAAGGGTGACTGGAACGGTGGCGTGGAAGAAAAGGAGAAGGTGAGTTCAGGTGTTATTTTTGATGTTTTTTTTTTTTAAAAAATTTGAGTATCACGTGTGTAAATAGTTTAGTTTAGATGAAAATTATTTAATCAGTAAGTGAAAATTCAACTAGCCGTAAATCAGTTTTACCGCCACTCACATTTCTATTTCCCGCCGATTCAGATGCGCGTTATATCCCGTTTCCACTAAGGGGCTGTTTGGTATGCAGCATTAGGTGGGTAAAGTAATAATTACATGTATTTATTAAATTAGACTGTTTGGTTTATTTTTAACGGAACAAAAGAAAATACTGGGAAGCATTAGCCGTGTATTATATGGAGGTATTTTGGCGAAATAGAAACCCGCCAAATTGAGCGGGTTCTAAATTCTCTGCATTTCATCTTCGTTGTTGTTCGGCTTCATTGCTTCGCAGGAGGTGTAAGATTGCATGAGTGGCTTCTTCGGCTCCTTCGTTCTCGTTCGACTTCGCTCCTTCGACGACGTTCACTTTGCCTTTGCCTGTCGGATCGGAAGTTGCGACATTTTCATCGGAAGGACGGACGGGAGCTCGCAAGTTCTGAAGGTAACTTTCTCCCTTTCGCGCGATTCTTTGACCAAATCCCGTCAATCCTTCGAACTAGAATAATTACAAGCGATTTTCTTTCCACCACGACCACCTCACGGAATAATTTCAAGCGCTTTTCTTGCCACCCGACTCGTCTCGCTATTTCAGTGGAAAACGGAGCTCGAACGGTTTCATTACGCTTTCGCTTCCTAGAATCATCGTCGCCGACACTGCTTGCTTCGCACCCTAACTTATTGTTCTTGGCAGTCCGATCGACTGAGGTTCCAGCCCTCCGCTTCTCCGGCGATTGAAGAAGAAAAGCCCATATTCCATATATTTTATTATCTGGATGCCTCTTTTGCTTATCTGAAATGTGCTTCGCTTTCAGTTATATTTATTCTGGTGCTGCGCTAGGGCTGGAAGCATTATAATTCTAGGGTTCCTAGGGCAAACAAACTGTTCGGGACATGTTTCGGAGCCCCACAACCGCTCAATTCCACAAATCGAAACCCTTTATGACAAATATGTGAGCTTTTTTTTTTCCAGCTGTCTAGTTGAATTCTAATTCTTTTGAAGGCTTCTTGTTATTATTATGGCTGTTGTTAGAAACTTGGAGATGAGATTGGCAAGGGAGACTATGGTCGCGTTTATAAGGTGCTTGAACTGAAAAATGGAGATTTTGTGGCAATCAAGCAGGTCTCCTTGGAGAATATTCCCCATGAGGATCTTAACGTAATAATGGTAACTTAGAAACCTCCGAATGCTAAGGGAAACAAATGGTATAGCCAAAATTTTCCAATAGATATCAGTTGGTTCAGGTGCCCAATCAGTTAACCAATATGTAGGATTCCTGCTTTGTTGGGTCTGTGCACAAACCGCGGCTCCCCATCTTGAGTCAAATGTCACAAAAGCAACAGGCAAAACTGCTTTGGAGTCTGAGAATCCTTTGCCATTCACATTCCATCTGATACAATTATTATGAGATTATATGTAGCTTTAGTGTGGTAAAGAACAAAATATAATATTAGCTTGAAGATCATTAGTATCTGGAGTTTCTGAAAATTGCCTCCTGGCAACCAATAAGCTCTATTGCCTAAGTCTGCATTTGGTAGTGGTCTTGTACTGTTGATGAAGTAAATGACTGTTTGCAAGGGTAATAGATAGAATAACCAAAATGAATATTTATTATGAATAGCCTTAATTAGTCTACAACTAATTAATTAATTAATTAATTAGCTAATAAAATAGGGAAGTTAAAATCCGCCTTTACTTTTTCTGGGAAGCTAACGAGAGAATAGTTCTCAATGCACTATGTTGCCGAAGTCAGAAAATTGAATTTTTTTTTGTTGTTGTAGAGTTGTATCAAATAGAGCCTACAATTGCAAAAACATACACCAAGATACAACCTATTGCAAATGTCTAGTGAGAACATCATGACTAAAGCAAAAAGATATGGGCTTATGGCAAAAAAAAAAAAAATTGCGAGCATATACTTTTGTAAGTTAGCTATCAATTTTTTTTTGCTTATATCTCTCTCGGTCATGCCACAAAGCTAGGTTGTTATTTTATAAATCTTGGCTCTATTTTCTTTCTTTTATGAGGTAGTGAGCAATATTATGGAAGTTATTTTCAGCTACTGAATACTCAATTTGATTATGTATGCCAGTTTTTCTTTCTTTGTGTTGGTGAGGCATCAAGAAGGTTTACAAAAAGGCAACCGGTGCTGCAAAGTATTTATTTGATGAGAAGTTGACTTTTTATTAAGAATTCAACATTCAGAGATGATTTTATTTTCAATGTATTTTTAACCTTGCCTTACATATTTCTTCGATTTTTTGCTTATAGGAATAACTTATTTATTTTTGTAACTTCTGACATAGTATTAAATTGCATTTGCTCATTTCATATGATTTTTCTATATTCTTACCCTCACTCCAGGTGAAGAGCTTTGAAATGAAATTGAACAAAACACTTCCTGTGATCAGAAGCTTAATGCATTTGCTAATCAGGTGTGATTGTTGATAGCCTGCTATGCTTTCCCAAATATTTTTTTGAACAGTAATTTGGCCTCTATGACATGAACTTGTTACTTTTACTGTGTATGACCATCTTTTGAAATCTACACCGAAACCAAACCTATCCACATCAGCTGCAATCCTTTGCGACCGGATTCAGGCTGGATATGGTTGGAGAGGTGGATGGCTTTAACATCATCAGATCGAAAAAATGTCCTTCTGAAACAGGATGATCTGGGAGAGGGTACTAATACTGATCTGGATGCTTATGAAGTCAACAATAAGTTGCAGACTACACAAGAACACAGATCATCTGATTCAAAGTTCGCTCCTAGCGATCCTGTTGGGCCAGCTGATGTTAAGGTGGATTTAATAACCAACAATTCTGAAAAGATAGAAGTTGTTGTTCCTGTATCTATACAGGAGCAATGTTCAAACTCTCCAGTTCAGAATGAACAACTCGATTCATATATTAAGGAGACAATGTCTATTGAGAAGGAAGAATACAACAATTTTTTAGTTAATTTTTGTATTGAAAAGCTGTTTTAGAAAGCAAGAGGAAAGCTATTCCAAACGAAGTTTAAACAATCGGTGATTACTTTTATAAATACACAAGTTATAATGATAAAAAAAATATTACAAATGTACTGTTTTTACTCTGGATATGTCTAACCAAACAAGGGAAACATTTCTCCTGCGTTTACTTTGCAGACAACCAAACAGCTTCAAAGTATTTGAAATGCACTACATTTACTTTACACTGCATTTACTTTACATTGAATTTACTTTGCAGGCAACCAAACAGCCCCTAAAGCGATTGTAACCGCAAAAACCTAGCGAGAGCAGGCGAAGTTAGAAGAGAAGTATTCGATGTTTTACTCCCACACATTTCTTGCTCGGAAAAGCCCTTTAGGGACAATATGGATCGCAGCTCATCTCGAGCACAAGATCAAGAGGCCGCAGATCGAAAAAATCAACATTCCTTCCTATGCTGGTTCGTTTCCCTTCTTTATTTATCTTTTTGCCTCACTTGTTATGCTTTTATCTGTTCATCCTTATGAGAAAACTTGCCCGCTATCAAAATATCAATCTTGTTTTTTTCTTTTTTTTTTTCGTTTTGGCCAAGACGTTTGAGTTCTTTCTGCTTCTTTCGTAGTTGCCTTAAATTGGATAGTTTGCTTCTTTTCTTTCTTCATTATAGATTCCACATTGCTTTTAAAGATTTTTTTTTTTTTAAATTGAGATAGTTTGATGGCGTTGCAATGCGTAGTTTCCTTTTTTGAATGGCAATTCGAATTCATCTCATTTTATTTATTAAGGTTTACACTACAACAGAGGGATATCAAAACTGGGAATAAAACACCACAATGTAAACGTTTTTTGTGGACCACTATTTTCATTAGACTAGCAGCTATATATACGCAATTACAATGTTATGTTTATTTTTTTTTTCAAGAGCTGAAATGTGTAGATTTATTGTTAGTTATTTCTCATTTTCTACTTGTGGATTCTCCGAAGGATGCTGCCTTTCTTCTCTAATTTTTTCCATTAAAATCAGCTTTTATTTGATGTTCAAATTTGTTTTTTTTTCCCAAATTCAGAATTGCTTTTCATAAAAAATCACATCGTGCTTATGCCAATTTTCTTGTATATGATTTACATGATTTTGACTGCTCACACAACAGCAAGAAAAATGCATTTTCTCCTTTGTCATCAAGTTTTCTACTTTTATGATCCAGAACATCCCATATGCCTTGTAATAAAAGATTTTTCGGTTGCCGTCACTTGTTCTTTGTCAATTTCAAGCTTCTTTGGGTATCACATTCTAAACAAGTATAGTACTTTTGTTGGTATATAAAACTCTCCATTTGACGTCTTTGGCAAAAAAAAGTCTTGGGATATCTCTTTTCGTCAAAATAGTTTGCACTATGTTCAATATTGTGTGGTTCTTTTTCTTGAAATACCATTTTTCTATGGGGTAGAAATTGCTTCTTAATCCCATACGCGTCAAAAAAATTAACAAATTATTGTGAGTTATATTCTAAGCCATGATTGTAGCAATGTTAACTAGAGTCTTGAAGTATTTGAAAGTTAAAAAAATATTCAAATTTCCTTGCAAAAAATAAATTCAATTTATATGACTAAAATCATCAATGAACATTATAAATAACGTTTATCACCATTTCTTATCAGATTGAAGGTCTTATATATATAAATCGGTTTGAACCAGCTTTAATACCTTTGTTGTCCATGATTTTCCTTTTGAAAACTACTCTTGATGTTATTTGCTAACAACAAATTCAAATGCTTTAGGACTCTGAATTTGCGAAAGACCCGTCACCATATACTTCATATGCAATATTTTTAGATTGCCAATATTCAAATGTCTATAGCAAAAATGCTATAACCATGCTCCGTCCTTTAGTTTTGTAGATGTTGACCTCTACTAAAGCATCCAAAAAGAAACATAAAAAAAAAGCTTAAGAAAACTTACCTCTACCATGCCCATACACGAATCAAGCTCAAATCCTTCGCCAAATCTCGCGTGTATACGACGGCCCATCTCTCTGCCACGGCGCCAAAATGTCTTCTCACGCATGCTTCGCCTCAATCAAACCTTTCCTCGCGTCGTTAAAATGAGTGTGAAGCTCTCATTCGTGGTCTCTCGCTCACTTCTTCTTGTCGCCAAATCTTTCGAACCCCTGCTCTCCTTAAGCCGCAAGCTTCATCCGTCCAAGCCCCTCCTTCCTCCGATCAAAACCAAGTCAAAGGCCTAATCCACCCTTCGGTCCAGAGAGAGAAGAAGCTTTTGTTACGCCAGCTCTAGCTGAACCGGCCCAGCCGGTCATGGGACCGGTTCAACATGTTTATAGGAGGCAGAAGTAGCTCGCCTCCTTCCTCCCTTTTCCGCCAATTGGGTGGGCCCCATCCAGCAAAACATTTTCAAAAGGGAAAAGGGTTGAGCGGCTTATGCTTTGGGAGGGAAAATTAATTAGGAAACCTTTTGTATTAAAGTTCATGAGGGAATTAGGGAGTTTTCATGTTTTGATTGATTGAAAATTAGGGTTTCTTGGCGTTTGGGCTCTAGACTCTCTTGTCTAGAGATTGGGAAAGAATGATCCTCCTCTCAAATTGAGGATCAATTGTATCTTGCTTTGTGTTTGTTTTGCTTTGCTTCCCTTATTGCAATCTATCGTTTTGGGGTTGATTTCGCCTAGATTTTACTTATTTGTTGCTATTTTTCTCCAATTAGTGGTAGGTTTGCTTGCGAACTCAAGTATTCCCTTAATGTTACTTACGAACTCAAGTATTTCCTATCAAATTAGCATCATAGCAAGTCGTGGGACCGGTGGAGGGTTGTTTTCGGCTAATTTCAGCGGTGAATTTTTGCCCAAAAAAAGGGAGATTGCTATTTTTGGAGCTCTAAATCCAGATTTTTTGTTTCTACGAATTCCGAATTGTGATGGCGGCCAAAAAGTGGATGCTCTGGAGGAAGGCTTGAAGGAGAGATGAATCAAATCAAAACGACAGTGGAGGAAAGGATTTCCTCCATAGAAGGACAAGTGGCCAATTTATCGGACATGATGAAAAAGATGTTAGAAATTCAAAACCAAACGGTGGCTTCTGTGGCGAAAAGAATGGAAGGAAAAAGTACGAATTCTGAAATTCATAGGGAGGAAGATGAGGTGGAAATCATGGAAGTAGAGGGAAGAAGGCCCCATATGGATCTTGTCTAGAGGGAAGAAAGAGGAGGTGGATATGGGGAACGCCATGAGGGATACTATGGCCACCAGGGTGTTGATTTTGAAGAAAGAAGGGGGGTTTTAGAAGGGGGTTTGGGCTATGGATGGGCAAGGGAAAACCAGGAAACATGGGGTCCACCTAGCACTTGAGAGGGGAAACTATGGAAGGATCAGGGGAAATGGGGGCGACTAGAAGCTGAGGAAGTTGAAGATGCCCATATTCGAAGGAGAGGATGCATATGGGTGAATTTACAAGGTGGAGCGATACTTCACCGTTAATGGGCTGACAGAGGAGGAGAAGCTGACCGCAGTCAGATTGTGCTTGGAAGGAAAAGCCCTGTCATGATATTAGTGGAGAGATCATAGGAGGCCTATCAGGAGCTGGAGGGAATTCAATGACTGCATAATAGAACGTTTCCAAACCGACCAGGGAGGAGATTTTTATGAGCAATTTTTGCTCTTACATAGGAGGGATCGGTAGCAGACTACTGGGAGCAGTTCGAGCACCTAGCTAGCAGGGTGGAGTGACTCTTAGATACAGTATTGGATAGAAATTTCATGAAAGTGCTGAAGGCGGATATCCGAGTAACAGTGAAGGTTTTGATGCCTCGTGACTTGGGGAGGCCATGAAATTGGCCCAACTGGTGAAGAATCAGAGTAATTTGGAGAGGGGAGCCAGGAGTAGTAGCACTGGGGCACTTACAGGATGACAGCCACTCTTCTAGCACCTAAAAGTCCTGCAACATGAGGGAGTCAAGAGGCCACCAAGGAGAAGGCAGGAGGAGGGAGCGGGGGAAATTTCAAGTGGCCGACGGAGAAAGAGATGCAGGAGAAAAAGGCTAAGGGGTTGTGCTTCAGTTGCGATGAAAAGTACACGCCAGGGCATCGGTGCAAGGACCAAACTCTTCTGGTTCTCACTGTTTATGATGATGAGGAAACTGAGGAGGGAGGTGAGGAGGAGACAGGCAGAGATGGAGGATAAGCTACACTTGGATATGGCTGAGATTTTCCTAAACTCAGTGGTTGGATTCACTACGAATCACACAATGAAGGTGAAGGGAGAGATAGAGGACAGGGAGGTGGTGGTCTTGTTTGATGGTGGGTTTACCCACAATTTCATTTTCACCCAGGTCGTCGACCAACTGGGAGTGAGATTGGTGGATACCGGTTGTTATGGGGTGATGATGGGTACGGGGAAGGTGGAGAAAGGTCAGGGAATTTGCCGAGGAGTGCGACTGACGATACAAGGGATACAGGTGAGGGAAGACTTTCTTTTGTTAGATCTTGGGAGTACAGACGTCATCCTGGGGATGAAATGGCTGCAAATTTTAGGGGACACCAAAGTGAATTGGGGAACACTCACGATGGAGTTGATGGTGGATGGGAGGAAGGTAGTGATTACGGGAGATGCGGGACTTTCCAAATCCCTGATATATCTTAACACTATGGTGCGAGACATTTAGTTGGCAGGCGGAGGGTATTTGGTGGAGCTGCACAATTTGGAGGGAGCGAGATTGGAGGAGGGAGAAGACATTCCTCTCTCCATTAGGCCATTGATTCAGCAGTTCCAAGAGGTGTTTCAGCCACCTCAGGGATTGCCTTCGCAGTGAGACCAGGAGCATGCCATTGTGTTGAGGGAGGGAGTGTCGCCCATTAGTGTACGGCCTTACCGCTACCCTTAGTTCTAGAAGGATGAAATCGAAAGGTTTATTAGAGAAATGCTGGAGGCAGAAATTATTAGACCCAACATCGGCCCTTCCTTTAGCCCTATGTGGACCTCCGAAAGAGCACCGCGCGAACGGGTCAATTGAAAGGGACAGATTGGATCATGCATATGACTAACCATTGAGGATAGAGGCTGCCTCCAACACACCCCGATGAGTAGTAATATACACGACCTAATCACGGGTTTTCCCCACTCGATACAACATTTCGAATAGGGTTTAGTAGATGTGGGACTGAGTTTCCCACGGGCGCAAGCCCCCGTGGTTAATTACATCCCAGGCAGGAGACTGAGAAAACTATCGATTAAGGATCATACATTATCCTCTCCTAAAGTGGGATTGGTACATGAGTAGAGACTAGGAAATCCTATCCAAAAGGAAGAAATGTCCGAAGGGCTGAATCAACATGCGTGGCTCATACCAGCATTCGGAGGCTCTAGGGCACTAAACAGAAATTGGAGAAAAGAAATCAAACATTCGATCACATGTGTGAGAGAAAAGATGGAAGTGGCGTCATCCTGTGACGC